ATTCAGGTAACTGTACACTGGGCAGCTCAGTTTGGGTGTCCAATGTAAATTAAAGTTAAAGTGAAGTTTTCCTCGCTTAGTATTATATAACCTGGAAACTACAAAATCTTAATTTCTTTCCAATGTGATTTTTAACAGGTGAAAACACAGAAGTAGTACAGAGACAGCTTTGGAGAATGGCAGAGCTAACATGCACTAACTTAGGGGACATCTGTGCTAGAATGGACTCTTGAAGAATTATTCTCTAACTATCCCTACAGGTGAAGTTTTGAGTCATAGATACTTAGAATTGCATTTTTTATGTAAGGGTTTGTGTTTAGAGACCTCTCAGTTCCACTGTTTGCTGTCAGTTGCTGGAAGATTTCAGTGTGCTGTGTGGAGCTGGTATTACCAGGTGAGGCCAGGAATGTTTGGAAGCATTTGAAAACACAAGTGCAGTCAGGGGTGGGCTGCCCAGTGACACCAGTGAGGGGCAATGGCAGCAGTGCAGCAAGCTACTGCAGGGTATCTCTTTTATACCCTGTAGTGCAAGTAGTATGTCCAAATACATATTGTTGTCAGTCAGTTTTTGGCACCGTCTTATTTTTGTGCCATAGCTGCAAACTCATGAAATTTCTAAAGCCTCATGGGTTTCAGTGAAAAGCTTCACTCAGAATGTAAATACACTGTTAAGTAAGCTTAGTTCATACTGAAAATCTTGGTTTACTACTTTTTTTTTCCCCCATAATCTGAAGAAATATATGTTGATATAATTGAACTTGTCAAATTCTAACAAAAGAGAAGCCAAATCACTGGTTGTTTGGAGTGTGAAATACACCTTTGTGTGCATTAATAGGCACCATGATTAGAAGCCTGTGTGTGTCAAACATCAGCAGATAAAAAAGGTTATCTGTAAAGCAGAAGAGAAAGTAGCTTGGTCTAATTATATAAAGAATATTGCTTGCCTTAATTGGAATGTCATAGTAATCCTTACTCCCTCTTTTAGGTATTTAGAATCAGATTGCTGTTCTCAAAGCTTCTGAAATTCCTTTGTGCTGTGTTTGGGTTCATAAAAACAAAGGAAATACAAACACAAGATAAAATTTAACATAACCACCACCCAAACCCCCCAACCACCAGAGCATATTGGGAGGTGAGAGATTTGCCCTGGCCAGTATATTTTTTTTAGCACTGGAATATCCCTATCTGTAATATTGGAAGGAATATTTTATGGTCAGTGCACTTTGGAGCAGTAAGGAAATTCCAGGAGGTCACAGAAGGGCTAATGAGGAGATGGAGTGGATGAATGTGGCAGGTAGTGACCTGGTGCTGTGCAGCTGTCCAGGCTGCCTTGGGTGTTTGACTAGCTCTGCCTGGTGCTGATGTATACGTAGTTCACATTGTTACCATCTTTCCCATTTATTCTTAGCACAGAATTCAGTTAACAAGGACAGAAAAGTATTAATCCTAGTCAATAAGGCTTTAAGAAAACAAGAGCTTATCATTTGACTTTGTCAAAGGTTTTGATGTTGAGGATCTCACTGAATATTAGTATTGAAGTTCAGTATATGCCACTTAGTTCAGGATTAGTCCAGGGGTGTGCAAGAGTGAATAGTTTCCAAGTATATTCAGCAAAAGGTAGTAATTGATTGTCACAATTTGTTTTCATTTAATGATTTTGTCAGTGCAAAATGTCTTTAAGAAATTTTGCATGATAAACTTGTGGTCCGTGTGTGGTCAGTGAGCACTAGGGCAGCCCCCATGGTTGTCAGGTGGAGAAGATGCAGTCAGGTGTGTGTGCTAAGGCTGCCACATGCAGAGCTGTGCCCCGGGGACAAGGCACTTAGCTGAATTTAAAGCAAGGCACGTGGTATCCTAGAAAGCAGTGGCTGAACTGCCTTTTGGAGTCATAGTGGATAAACAGCATAAACGTGAGTTTCCAAGGTGATGCTGTGAAAAAGAAACTAATATAGTTCTCAAATGCATTAGTGGAATGAGTAGGGATACAATTCCCGCCTGTGTGGGGTGGGATGAAGCATTCCCAAAATACTCTGTGTGGTTCTGGCCTCAGCACTCAAAAAAAAAACCCCCAAAAATTACTATGTGCAAAAGAGATTCATTTCCAGTTTGGTGGAAAACTAAGCTGTAAAGCCATGCAGTGAAACATTAGGAATTTACAGTGCAGCTTCTCAACAAAAGATGACTTGATTAGAGTCCTCAGAATTGTCCCTGACAAGATAATACTGGATATTAGTGAGCTGGTTTTAATCTTGCTGGCAAACAAAAAAATTTGTAGCCCAGTACATTCAAATTGAGAGACTGCAGTTTTTCACAGGGAAGGTGATTAACTGTTAGGTTATGGTATGAAGAGCAGTTGTGTATTTCTAAATTTCTTAACCTCTTTGAATCAAGATTATGGAAGGAAAAAAAATCTGACAGTTGCTTCAGGCAGGTGCAAGATGCTGAACTTTAGTTTCATGTATGTATAGAGGACTGTCATTCCTAAGAGGTCAGAATGGTGATCAAATGAGGGTGATTGTGCAAAAGCAAACAGATGGGTAGCAGCTCCTCCTCTCTTGAACCAGATTCCCTCTTTTTGCTCGGAGATGGGTTTAAGACTTTTCCTTATTAATCCACAACACGATCAAGCCAGTAAAATCTTCTGAACCAGGGAAAGTAAGCAGGTATTGATAGATACTGGAGGTGTGCCAGATAGTGTCCTGTATACTTGGTCCAAATTGTGACTTAAATTCTGCTCTGTGTCTATAGCACTGGGAGCTGTTGGAAGGATAAATGTTGTTTCTCTGCTGCCAGGGCACACTGCTGGCTCACATCCAGCTCCAAGCAGCCCAGAGACCTTGTCAGCAGTGCTGCTGCCCAGCCAGTCAGTGCCAAGCCTGTATCAGCAAAGGAATCCTCCTTCCCAGTTCAAAGCATGCAAAATGCTCAGAGGGTGAGGCAAGGTGATTTTATTGAATCCACTAAGTCAAGCATAGCTCTGTGAAGTTACTTTGTGTTATATAAAATTATTTATTGAGTCATATTTTATATGTTGCATTTATATGTGTTGTGTGGAATTATTTTATCTGCAGTGATCCTCCTTTGAAATTGGATGCTGAGTAAAATACTGACTTAATCAGGAATGAAACTAGGGAGCATAAAGCTGTGGAAGAAGGAGTAAACAAGACAGTAATTTTGAGCTATGATAATGCATCATATGTAGAGACTTGACACAAGTGTTTGACACTTCCTGAGCTCTTCAGTATGTTACACTGAATAAATAGCCTGATAGTGGACTAAGCATCTCTCAGTGGAGATGGCTGAAAGCTAAAGTATTTTTCATATGTTCCCTATGTTAAAAAGTGCAAAGGGGGATATGTAAGCTTGAGAGCTCTCAGCTATAGAGCAAACTTGCATGTAATCCACATGCTCCTCTGGGTGGTAGTTTCAACAGAAGCACCTGATGCCTGAATTTGGCAATTCTGTTTTCTCCTGGCTGTTTGTAAGAAGGTGAATAGTGTCACTGCTGCTGCCACTTGGGTTCTTTGCAGAAGCTCAGTCTGTGCCCAGTCTGGCTGCTGTTGTGCCCTGTGGTTCCTAGTGCTCACACAGTGCCAACTTCTGGGGTAGATGCAGTGAGTTTTGTTGTGAGCCTGTAGCTTGGAGGAGGAAGAAATGGAGTGGATACACCACAACTGGTGGAAAACCTGTTTTGGTAAGAGACTGTGGGGACACTATAGGTTCAGAAAGGGATCAGTAGGTCCAGAGGCTAAGATCCCTAATCCCATGGCTGGGTGTTGGGATAAGGGTGGTAAACCACAGGCATGACTGATTACTCTCCCTACACAGCATTTCCTGCTTGGGCTTTTGGAGACAGACTGTTGGCCTAAAGGAACACTGATCTGTCCTTGTGGGGCTTTTTTTGTGTACATTTTTTGGACAGAAGAATTTTTTTTCCTGTACAAGTGAATTTGCAGCTCTTGCTGTGTTGGGAATAACACCAAAGCATTTAGTGAGGTAAAAGTCATGGTTTCCCTGGAAAATTAAGCTGACTTGCATGGGGATTGTTATGACCCCATCTCCTTCCACGTGTGTGCCATGCTAGGTGCTGAATTAGCTTTGTGGCAGCTACTGGATGTAAGTGGATGTGGGAAAAAATGTAGTTCTCAGGTTTGACTTGAAGCTTTGTGGAAACATACCCCAAAATATTTTGGGGTAAGTAGAGCAAGCTGAGATGCAGGTAGCAATGGCAACATTTGGATATTTGTAAACAGTTTTTACTCTTTTGAAATGGAGCAGTAAACTTTGCTGTATGTTTAAAGTCACTGTGCAGGGAATTGAATTCTCTCATTGTTTAGTGCTGAAAGAGATATGGTTGATCTGGACTGGCTCTTGCAAGAGCCTTTCACTGCTGTAGAACCAGTAGTGATTTTTGGCCAATCACTTTAGCTTCTTGTGTAGTTTTTCTGTCTCCTTGTATTCGGTTTGCAGAGCTGTTCCCTTGAAACAATGTCTAACATGGAGATTTAAAATGAAAACAAAAATGCTCCTGAAGTTAAAATGCCCCTCTGGTTTTGGTTGTGTGATTCTGTGACATAAGTTAACAATACTACATTTAGAGCAGTTGCTTTCTCCTATGTGCTGAACTGTTTGCAGTGGAGGTGCAATCTAAACTCCAGTTTTGCTTTCCCAGTACATACTGTGAGGGAACCCCTTAGAGACATTTCAGGAGTTTCCAGGTTACAGGTTGGGAAAAAAAAAATCAAATTTTGGAAGGCTATAGTAGTTTCAGTCAAAGCTTATCAGATTAATAAAACCTTTCTTCTTTTCTTTTCTTTTTGGAGGATGGAAGAAGTTAGTGTTATCCAG